CAGTGCTTTCATTTAAGGAGGAGTGCTTAAATTGCGATATTGAGCGAGATCTGGGAGAACAGTTTAGGTGGAAGGGAAACTACTTAAAACTTCTTAGCAGAGTACGCAAGCACACGCATCAGGCAGCTGACACCCAGCCATTATCGGACCTCACACTCGTGTTTCCGTATCCTTATATTCTGCTTACGCATTTTTCTGGCTCTTCTGAAAGACCGTAAGGAAAGAAGTGAGAACTGAGCAGGCAGTTATAGCATGTAAATTCAAGGAGCCTTCATTCCTTGCTCCAGCCTTACAGAACACTTTATGTTCTGGCTATCACACCACTTTAATGAAACCCAAGATTTAAATAGCAGCCGCTTTCATTTACCTGTCACTAATCTGCAGATTTTTGAAAAGAAAACCTGCCTCTTGTTTGGCAGTAGCTGGTAGGATAATTCCTGGCCTGGATAGGGTAGTTTCTGGTTGGTAATTGTCAGCCTCTAATCTCTCTGGCCGCCAGTCAGCACTCCAAGTATCTTTCAGAGCTTAGGGCAAACAACTAAAGCCAGTAACTTATTTTTTTCAGTGAAATAATAAGAAGTTTGTCATTCTGGATTTTCAGTCTCCAAAGCTACGTACATGCCCCAGACTTAGGAGAGTACTCTAAGAAGTCATTGAAACCATCCTGAAACCTCCGTCTCTTCAGTCGGCAATTTGTAACGTCGCTAAATATGTCTTTGAGAATATAGGAACTTTGAAGAATGCTCAGATGATTTATAAGATTTCCCACTTGTCAGCCAGAAAAAGAAGAGTGTGTGAGAAGTAGATCACTGTTTGCTTCACTTTTCAACTCATCTGTATAGGAAAGACTGCAGATAAACTTCAATGTTTGTGTTAGTTCTGTCTGCGGTAATGTGAGTTTCTCAGGTAACTGGGCCTCTTGTCATTAGGGACTCCGGAGATTAAATCCAGTATTTGGAAGTCCATCTTTGAAAAGGATTGCCAGTGCAGACTCTGAAATGTCCGTGTTTTGTCATCGGTGCTTCATTGGGTGTAAAAGTCAGTTTGTTATATTCTGCACTACCTTAATTTTTCAAATGATCCTAAAGTGGCGCCCATGTGGAGTGCAGGCAGCCATACAGTCCCAAAGTAACAAAGGCATGAATGATCATTGTAAGGTCCCTACAGCGAAGAAGAAACCGAGACAGATGGAAAAAATTTCTACTACAGCTGCTGTTTGATCTTCCAAATGTTGATCTGGCTCTAATAAAACTAATTGTGAACCTGTATCACACACTGAGCGTTCACTCGTAGTGGACAACCATCCCCAGGCTTATTTCCTGCTTTTTCTTTCTAGCAGTTGCCGTTCAGTATGTACTTACCTAGTCTCAGTATTCATTTTTTAAAAATAGAGCTGGTTTTCTGTCAGCTGTGGCACCTGATGTGTTGAAAACAGAGCAGCCCTTACAGCACACTACTGCTCGTGTTTTTTCACTATGGCTCATAAGCATTATCCTGAAAAGGACCTGCTGGAATCTTCCAGCTTTTCGTGGCAAGAACCCCTGCAATGGTTCAGTCTGTGATTAATTTTCTTTGCAGACATCCCCATGCAACAGTAGAAGCAGCAGGGTCATTAGGCAGTTAATAGAGTGAAATAATCACAGACATTGATTTCGATCGTGGAGTTGGCACAAGCCTCTACTTCAGACTCTGTCCGAAACCTGTCTGACTAAGATCTTAGAAATACGAGGTTGGAGACTTCAAGATTTGAGTGGTCACAGCTTTCTCCATGTGCTGTCTAAACCCCTAGTGGTTTAATACAGGTTTATGGTTGGCAGGGTTGTTCAAACTGAGCCTTGGGTGCATGAGCAGAAAGCATGTGTCAGATCTGTCACTCCAGTGCCTTCGAGGAAGCCGTCAGCTTCAGCCTCCACAGAGCGCCTGTTCTTCCCTCGCTGGCTTTGCCACCCACAGAGGACTTGGATAGAGTGCAAGTTGTGTCACGGTATGCCATAGTCTTACAAAACTTAAAACAATAAAACCCAAAACAAAACAACTTAACTTTAAAATAAAACCAACTTATAAAACTTATTTTCAATGGCCTCTTCTGAATTAGTTTTGTGCAGACAAATCTGGCTGAAGTTTTTAAAGGTCATCTTTTTCACGGAATTATTGCACCAGTGGTGCAAGATGAAAAGAAGGACAGAGGTTCTAACCTCCAGCATCTCTCAGGACTTTTGTCTTTGAGGTGGAGAGGACGTTGGTCTGCCTGCAGATGAAACATTCAGTTTGCACCTTCAACACATCGGGAGTATTCATTTCATAGCGAGATGGCTAAGGCTGTGTCTTGGCTGGCGTGCAGCAAAATATGGCAAAATTGCTATGCATGATAAATATAAATAATTAAATATCAAATATAAATTCAGCTGTTTCCTACCAAGATATTGAATATACTGAGAGATCTGTGTCCATGTTACTGGGAATTCCATAGAAAACTGTACAAAATAGGTACCTGCAGATCTCAAAGCTGGTTGTTCAAGTTAAAAGACTGTAGGGCTCAGGATATGATTTTTAAATGCCAATGTTTACCTGAAAAGATTGCACTCCAGTGCTATGGCAAAATTATTATCAGTCATTAACAACATGAAAATTTCTTAGTGAATTCTCTGTAACACAAAAAGGTTTGTATTTCATTTGATAACACCTGCTAAATTCATAACTTAAAGTGGAGGTTTTATTTCTGTTTTTCTTGGATAATCAATGATTTTATGTGCTATCTCACTGCCTCCCCCTTCCCCATCTAGACACTAACAAAGGCAGAGAAGCTTCACTACAGCTCAGCTGGCACATTTTCCCAAATCTCCTGATAGTGCAGGAGAACACAGGAGGCACTGTTACAGCTACCTGTTGTCCTGGGAACAAAAAGCTACAGCTAAGATGAATGAAGAGAGCTCTGACTTCATTTTCTGCAGTGTCCTTAAAGTACTAACGCAGTGCAGTTTGAAGAAAATCTATTCAAATAGGAATAAAGCTGCCATGAAAATGAAACGCAGTTGCTACTGCAAGTTAAAGCAGATCCTGGAGTGGGCCGATGTTAACTTCAGTTTAGACCGTGTGCCAAATTACATTCAGGTATTGTAGCATTCCTTGCATTTCTGAGTAGATGTTGGTACATATTGCTTCTCATTTAGAAGTGAGAAGCAAAAGAGGCAATAGCAGGAAGCTGAAGTAGACGTCTTTTCTGGGTGTGTTTATCACTTCTCACAACCACTTCTTTATACTGTACGTTACCTTGTTTATCCACTTTGACTTTTCCTCTCTTTTCTGCCAAATTCATCAGCTTCTATTTTTCAGCTATGATATAGGAAAACGTTTATATTAACTGCAAAGCAAGAGAGGTATGGCAGAAAGTTGCAGCGCTGTGGTGACTTTAAAGTGTTGGGGTTTTTTATTCATATATCTATGCAAATGTCTGTGCTGGCCTGAATACTGGAAACTCAGCTTTGCATTTTCAAATAGATGTATGTAGCAGTCCTGCGTGGCTAAGGCAGTCAGGTAAATTACAGTATGGAGGAGTATTGACTTGAAGCATATTTTCGTTAAATTAGACACTTTTCTCTCCACGGATGATAGCAGTATATATTAATGGCTGTGCAGACACCTCCTCTGGGTGCCTTCAGCAACAAAATTCCATTTAATAGAAATCCTAACTTGCCTAGGCATGAAAATGTGCAGTGAAAGCACAGAAACATCAGCTTTCATCTGCTGTGTAATAAAACTGTGAAATAATCATTATAATTGCACCGTTCTGACATTTGTGGGCCCAGACTAAACTCATTTCAAAGGCATGTTTTTAATAATACATTTTCCCTTCTCCCACAGTATTTCTAAATACAAAAAAAGGTGTACTCTTAATATCGGGATTAAGCGGGGAGTGTTTTTTTTCCTCTCCCAGCTGCAGCCACACAGGCTTGTTTTGTAAAGTACATCTTAGGAGGGACACCTGAGATCCGCATACTCCACTTCAGAGCGCTCTGCCTTCCCCTCAGGGCAGTGGAGCAGCTCTGCAGCTGTTAACGTGATTTCGGATCAATCAGAAAGTTGTGCAGTTAGGAGACCTTGGTGACTTTCCCCAGCAATGCTACTCAGTACAAAGACGTGTTTGCAGCAGTTTTAATTCTGCTACGGGCTGTTGTATTATAATACTTGTAAAAATAAATATGTGGATGATAAATGTTACCAGGTATTAATTATGAACAGGATGGACTTACCTATGGTACGCTACTTATAATGACTGTTTCTGGACGGTGATCACAGAATCATGGAGGCGTTGAGGTTGGAAGTGACCTCTGCTCAAGCACTGTCACCTAAAGCACATTGCCCAGGATCATGTCCAGATGGCTTTTGACTGTCTACAAGGACAGAGCTTCCACAGCCTCTCTCAGCAAACTGTTTCCATGCTCTGTCACCCTCACAGAGCGTAATTTAATAAAAAATGTTTTGCCTTTTTAGTGAAGGTAAAATTTTTCATGCGTATGAATATTTATTTGATCAGAAGATGTCATTCGTAAGACACAGCAAAGCCAGGCAGCATGAGATGTGCAGTTCAGCTGAGAGGGGGATAGTGCACTTAATGACTAGAGAAATCCTTCTCTGCTTTGATTTCTAACTTGCTGGCTATTAGGAAGCTAGGAAAACAAACACGAGTGGAAGAAAAATGAGTGAGGCAGAATACTTACCTGTTTTAATCTGAAAACATAAATGATTTAGCAAATCACAGTATCATGATTATACCCTACCAAAGGAGATTCCTTTATAAGGCAAATCAGGCCGGATTAAAAATGCCCAAGAATTTTTCTAAATCAGGAAGTAAATGTTTGCAAAGTCCATGCCTACACAATCTTTCACTTTTATATATAAAGTACTGATATTCACAAATCTAGTTAAACTGGCATGAGATTTGGGGTGTTATACTGATGAGTGGCAGACTGATAACTTCATCTAATTTCATTTCTTCCCAGAATGTTACACAGCAAATGGGGCTGACTATCGTGGCACACAGAACCAGACCTCCCAGTATGCAGGGAAACCTTGTCTATTTTGGAATGAGACATTTGAGCATCCTTATAATACTCTGAAATATCCCAATGGGGAGGGAGGGCTTGGAGAGCATAACTACTGCAGGTAAGAAATATCTCATTGCTACTAACATTGCCTGTATACCCAGTGTTACTTTTAACAGTTGACACAAAGTGAGGAAACTTCCTGTCATGCAGTGAAGGACGTCAGAACCATGGATATCTAACAGGCTTTGGTTTATCCTGTAATCAGTACCCTGGATCTACAAGCACCATTAGTAGAAAAAGTATGTTCAACCCAGCTCTCACCCAAAGTCCATATCGTATATCCAGTCTCTAATTTGGCATGATGGAGAAAGACTGGAGATTACTTTAAATGAAAAGGGGGAGATAAACTGATCCAAGTCAAGTACAGAAGCACCAGTGAATGTCTGTAGGAGTCTGGAACATTGTGGTTTTTAGCCTCACCCACAAGCCTTGTTCTATTATAAACTATGTTTCCGAGTTCTGTGCTAATGAAAGTTGTGTAGTCACTAAAAATTCTCAGTAAGCATAAGCTGTTCGGTGACTTAAGAGTTGTTATTTGAATTCAGCAGCTCAACTGGCAGTGGTTTACAATATCAGCTCAAACCATGGCAGATCCCCTTTCATTTCCTTGCCTTCTAGAGAAGTCCCCCATAACTATGGAAAGGATTAAAACTTAAATAAGAACTTCAGAACTGAGGAGCCAAATAAGAATCACAGAAACATTAAGGCTGGAAAAGACCTCTGAGATCATCAGCTCCAACTGTCAACCCAACCCCACCATGGCCACTAAACCATGTCCTGAAGTGCCACAGCCACACGTTTTTTGAACCCCTCCAGGCATGAGGACTCCACCACTGCCCTGGGCAGCCCCTTCCAGTGCTTGACCACTCTTTCAGTAAAGAAATTTTTCCTCATATCCAATCTAATCCTCCCCTGGTGCAATTTGAGGCCATTTCCTCTCATCCTATTGCCTGTTACTTGGGAGAAGAGACCGACCCCTCTGTACACCCTCCTTTCAGGTAATTGTAGAGAGCAATAAGGTCTCCTCCAGCCTCCAGACTGAACACCCCCAGCTCCCTCAGCCACTCCCCATCATTTGTGTGCTCCAGACCCCTCCCCAGCCTCATTGCCCTTCTCTGGCCATGCTCCAGCCCCTCAATGTCCTTCTGGGACTGAGGGGCCCAAAACCAAACACAGGGTTAGAGGTGCAGCCTCACCAGCGCCAAGTGCAGGGGCACAATCACTTCCCTGGTGCTGCTGGCCACACTATTGCAGATACAAGCCAGGCCGCTGTTGGCCTTCTTGGCCACATGGGCACACTGCTGCCTCATGTTCAGCTGCTGTCAACCAGCACCCCCAGATCCTTTTTCTGGTGGGCAGCTTTCCAACCACTCATCCCCAAGCCTGTAGTGCTGCATGGGGTGGTTGTGACCAGCACTTGGCCTTGCTGAAGCTCGTACAATTGGCCTCGCCCCATCGATCCAGCCTATCCAGATCCCTCTGCAGAGCCTTCCTACCCTCGAGCACTCCCATCCAGTTTGGTATCATCTGCAAACTGACTGAGGGAGCGCTCAACTCCCTCATCCAGATAATTGATAAAGATGTTAAACACAACCTAAGTTCAGAGATGTTAAGGCTCTGTAGGCTCTTTTTAGCCTGCAACATTTAACTTCCTGATGTTGTACGCCAGCCAGCTAAGATTTTATGCCCGTCTATACTTGCTATGAAAATAGGTGGGAATAACCTGATAGATAAATTCCTTAAACCGATAATAATCAGCTCATCTAGGATGCATATGAAGTTGAGTGGTGTTCCTTTCTGGGTTATGGGCACAGAGATGTTTAAACCAAGAAATTAAGAATTGAGTTGTGTGGAGAATAGCAGGAAAAGCTCTAATGTCTCCTTCATGAGAAGGTTCACACCACATCTCAGTTCTGCTGCAAGATGCCTTTACTTAGCAGTTTATAAGCAATAAGCAATATAAAATAAGCAGTATAAATCAGGATAAATGAGGCAAAATTAATATTCAGGAGCTCAACACAATTGCTGTGTCACAAACATAAGGCCCTGGTTCTTGACCCAGTCTTTGATCAGAAGTATTCAAGAAAATATGGCAGAGACACAGCCAGCCAGTTAATGGAAAGTAAGTAAGAAAGCACAGAAGAGAAGTCTTGTATGAGCACACTGATGAAAGGAGTCAGTGGCATTTCCAGAGTATTTGATGACTCGGGAGGTTATTTCTCATTGAAGAACATTGGTGAAGGACAGAGAAGAAAAAAAGACTTACTTGGGATCTTTTCCAATAGCTGCAGCAGTGCTTCAAAGTAACACTGTTCAATGTGTTGCACCAGTGGACTCCGTTTTCAGCCACAGAAGGAGGGAGCATTATTGCCAAGTTCTGAATTGGCTCCTGTGAATCCGTTCAGCATCTTACAGGAGTAAAGAAAAATACACCACCTGCAAGGGAAACTGCATAGAAGTTGGGCATTCGCTTTAGAAAATGGCCTGGAAAACAAATAAACCCATCGAGCTGTCTAGTATCAGGTCAGCATGTAAGCACTGGAAGGACTGTCTTCCCATCCAAAATATTTCACACCAACTTTACCGCCTCCCTCAGCCCAACACCACCAAATGCATAACAATTCTGAGCTGTGTCTCTCAGCATGTGTACTAATACAGAGCTACAAAAAGGCCACTGAATTCTCTCTGTTACAAATAGCAGAGTCAAGAACATAATTTGGATTGTTGCTGTGTGGTAATCTCCTAGACAGCCTGTATCTACAGAGTCTTACTTTTGGCAGTCATCACTGTCTCCTATTTAAGTTTGTACAAAGCAAAACAGGTACAAGCTATGCTAAAATGTGTGTAACACTGAATGTTTACCCAGGTATTCGAGTAACCCTTACTAGAGTCTCACTTTGCAAGTGAGAATTTGGTGTTACAAGGAGCAAGAAGCCTATAATCTGGTATGTGAGCCTGAGGAGTTAATTGATTACCAAATACAGCTTTTTAACCTCAGTCTGCTGGGTATTAGATTATCCTCCTTGAGACAGAGTCTGACTGGAAGGTTAGCCATTTCCTTTCTCATGCCAGATCACTTGGCCCAGGAAAATTCTCAGAGGTGAGTGGAATGATGATCCTAAATAACAGATGCTTTCTAACTTCTGTTGAAAAAACCAAAAAAGCTTGGAAAGTCACTGTTTTAAGAGTGTCAGAGCATATCTTTAGCAGGGAAATCTTACCGAGGCCTTGTGAGTGCAGGTATTACTGGTTTAGCTCTTTCTCTGCCATTTATTTGCTTGGTGACAATGGACCTCTGAAGCAAAACAGATCTCACAAGGCTTTTTTTAAGGCATAATACGTTGCTTTGAGGCTCAGTGCTAGGGACAACATTTGAATAATCTAATTTTACACTGAAAGCATTAATCAGAAGCATGTTATCTCTCCATGGGTGGTCCCTCCTTACCTCATGGTGTTCCACTAAACCTCATTTCAGCCATAACGATATTAAGCGGACTGAAATGTGTGGCGATTTTTGAAAGACACTCAGTTGTTTTCCAACCGTATGCACTTCTGAGGTTCAAGGCAAAGATTTCCAAAGACATTCATCACATTTCTCTGCGATTTCCTTGCATTTTTAAGGCATTTATATGTGGAGTGCCACTACTATGGTTCAGTTACAGACATCTGATCTCTGTCATGCAGGTGTAAAGCCAAAATTTCCTGTAACTGTGAAAACAAGGAAAACTCTGTTATTTCAAGTACAAGCTTTCCTTGATTTTAGTCTTCTGCTTTTGTTAGCCACTGGAATCTCTGCCATTAACACCTAAATTCCTAGCACACTATTCTTAGGCTTTCCTCATCCACTGCTTTTAAGTGGTCTGTTTGAAAGCCTGAGGAGCAGCATTTTAGTCAGCTAAATTGAACTCTACCCACCAGTTGTCTCCAGCATTCTGGTATTTGATCAGAAAACATCCCCAGCAGTTCTAAAATTGGATCTCCCACAAAGAGTTGTTAATATGCCCAAATGACAATGTGCAGCTGAACTGACGCTTCAGTGTAGGAGGGCGGTTCTCATTAATAGAATTCATGCCAGAGTACATGATAAAAAGATTGCAGTTGGCCCTAATTACAAGAAAAGGTCATATTTCACCCTGACTGTCCAGAATAGCAATTTATTCTCTTAAATGGATCTTTTCAACGTGAAAAGCTTTTGAAAATTTACATAGGAAAAAAAACTTTAAATAGCCTAACAAATAATTAGGTACGCATTTGTAAATAGTGCTACACAACAGCACAGAATAATCATGGACACGTAAGGAACTATCTGTCAATATATCAGATCACTGGGAAAGATTTATTCAGCTTTACTGAAGGGAAAGAAAAGACCTCAGTCTTTCCCAGAAGACTTCATTGGATAAATGTTTTTGTCATCCCACACATAGAAAGTTGGAGTCTGGACCACTTTGTACCAAGGCAAAAATCAAGTTTAGGAGTCTTAGGAACCTGTATGCAGGATGTGGGACTGAAAATCTTCCTCTCTCTCAGTGCTGTCCAGAAATAGCTCTGCACCTTTTAGACTTAAAAAAGCAATTATGTTTTAGACATTACTACTATTTTATGCTTGCTGAGTACTGTAATAACCAAAGTTATCTGAACTTCCTGGCCACTTTTGCATTTTTCTTGGTATGCAAGTCCAACAGGTGAAATATTCACTAGGTGATCAAAAAGAGCGATGACACTGAAACTTAATAATATTTATTTTTATGTGGTTTTTGAAAATATTTGATGACTTTTCACTCCCTCTCGCTGTTTTTTCTCTTTCAGGAACCCTGATGGAGATGTCAGCCCATGGTGCTACATTGCAGAGCACGAGGATGGGATATATTGGAAATACTGTGAGATTCCATCCTGCCGAAGTAAGCGCTCCACGCAGTTTTGTTAGGCCTCCATCTCTGTTGAACAGAGATCGGCTGTGATACAGCAGTGGGCAGTGACTTCCAAACAGAAACTAGGATAAGACCAATCGGCTCATTCTCATTTGCAGACTAAGCAATATTTGAAATGGGTCTCTAGAGTTAATCACAAGTTTACTGTAGTTTAATGTGTACCACGCATCATACACAGAATTGCTTGGAAGAAATAAAGACAGTGTGAGAGGACATAGGGAAAAGGTGGCTATTTGTGAAGTATATGGGATCTCTGGCCTTTGCAGGTGCCTATGCTTAGCAAACTGGACTTTGTTAGATTTTTTAACAGATAATTCACAAGCTCCCTTCCTTTCAGTATTTAATATTTTTAATGCATTAAAATGCATTCTATATTACTTACCTTGTCCGAAATGTGGAGGTTTTGCTGTGATTTATGTTAATATGTTCCAAATTTTTCATTCCTGAATGCTCCAGGATAAACTCCTAAGAATCACATTCTTCAAAATACACCTAAATATTAAAGAGAGATTCCAGTTTTGCATGTTAACAAGTAACCATAACTACACATTTTATTAAGTCTAATCATTAATGCCTTTACTTGCTTTCCGAACTTCTGTGCAAGTATTTTCTGTTTCTAAGGGCTTATGTGAATACTGTTAAGCCTCAGAGCAGTTGTCTTTGCGTAGGCATAATTACCACTGGAAGAAGTGCATTTCTTACTTGAAGTTGAGAAAACAACACTAAACAAAATAAAATGCATCTAAAGTGATTTTTTTTACTTTGTCCACAGTTGCGGTTTTTGTAAGGAATGTGAGTGATTCACATTTTCAAGCTAGACAAATATGTAAGTGTGACCTTAAGTCGGGTGACTTTTACCTAGTCTTTAATACAGATTAAGGAGTCTATTTTAAATAATGCAGAATCATTCAACACTCCGATACTCATTGTTCGGAGGACATCTTACTCTTATTTTTCTAATATACCGAGTCCTATTTAGGAAACATGACCCTCCTAATTAAGAAATTTATCTTGGTCTAAAATGAAAGAATTTGCATTTTCTTTAAAGACCACAGATGTTAACAAATTCTCTGGATATGGCACCAGTAAAAAAGCTGAAAGGCAAATTCTCTCCACTCCATTTGTTCTACACAAAGGATCCTTTTAAAACCAGACTCACTCATTTTCTCTGTGGTGGGGAGCAGAGGATTTAAACTTGGACACTTACTTGCACAGATAATCCAGACTTACATTTACAAAATGTCCTTTTGACCAGTAGCAGCTGCTTCAAGCATTGCACTGAAACTGGATACTAGAAAAAGGAATTGCAGCAATTTAGAACAAACTGTACATTGCAAGCCCATCCAAGTCTTAATACAAACCTCATGGTTTATGAAGCTGTGTAAGTAAAAAAAAACCCTTTTATTCTTTACCAGATTTTCTGTTTTCAGTAAGCATGATGCTAAATCACAGGACCATCAAAACCCACTTGTGAAGCGCATAATACAAAACCCAGTGTTGTGATGGAGCAAGAAAGCAGTTGTGTAAAGAAATCCTATTTGAAATTCTTAGAGGAGTAAAAAAATGGCCTTACATAAGCTGCTTTTCCATAATTTTATTTACTACTGGAGAAGACAAGTAGCTGGAGCACAATTTACCTATAAAGTCTATCCACATAATACCACTACAACGCAAACAACATGAAGCATGTTGATTGCCTAGAGAGATCTGCATGCAGTGATACACTCTAACAATAATTAAGAATCTACAGTTAGGAATTTTTCATTACGATGATGATTTCACATGGTTATATTGTGTGTCTCGTTCATTAGTATTTATATGTAGCCCAGAAGGTTTCATTCACAAATGTGTTCTGGCATTCTGCATGTGTAAACACGCTACACAGAGTTTAGCAATGTTAGATGAGGATGAATGGGCGTAATCACAGAAGACAGTGGTAGTTACCGCAGTAGGAGCTTGGTCTTTCCTTACCACGGAAATGGTACGCTTGATTTGGTTACAAAATGTACAAAGTTTTCAAGTTACTCAGTCTGGTTTATTAGCATGGAACTTGTTGAAGTAGTAATCCTCTGGAGACGAGGTTGAAGGGACCCACCAATAAAGCTACTTAAAAAAACCCCCACATATATAATGTGTTTTTTAGTAAATCCCAGGTCTCCTAGGAAAATGAGCTTGGTTGGTTAACTAGGAAGCTTTTTTCAGGGCATTGAAATCATGCACTGTACAAAGAACCTGAGCTCTCCACGAGTTATCTGCCCAGCTGTGCTCAGCTGGGGTGGGGCTGCAAATGGGGATTTTCAAAGGTATGTTAAATCAGGCTGGAACTTGAAGTCTCACTACTTGCGTGCATGCTGCTGCAGGGCATATCAAAGCCATAACTCCATGCAAGCCTTTATAATTGAAATTGTATCATTCTTAGATAATTATTTTATGAAGAATATTTGAAGCAAAATTACCTAATTGTTCAAAAAAAACCCTTGAATTTTCTTCCTAACTTCATTAATTCTTCTTTGTAATATTATAATCATCCTCTTTAAAAGTATAATCATACACACACCTGTATATTTGCTGGTCACTAATAGATATGCTAACCTGCTTCCTCAAAATAAGGAAGCTGCCTTAGGGCATATAGCCCAGCTCCAGGAGCAGGTTCTCAGGCAGCTCCAGATGTCAGGATGATTCACATTTTCACGGTGAGCTGACAGCAGTTTACAAGCTCAGTATATAATATTCCAAAAGAATAGCAACAAGACCATCTTTGTAAGAATGAGGCAAATAGAAGGCCTGAATTCAGGGCATTATTTCAGTGGCTGCTGCACATGGACATGTATAGGAAATCCCAGAATCCAATGGACAGATCCTTTCAGGACTGCTCAGTACAATAAATATCATTGCAATCCTATTGTAATTATGTGAAAGTACAATAATACAGAAGCAGTTTACTAACACACAGGTTATCTCATAGAGAAAAAGGCTGCCTGTCTAGTTCAAAAGGACCCCCAAAACAGCTAATCCACGTGCTATCAGATATCAGAGGCTGCAAAACCCCAAACTCAGCACTGCTCCTCTCCAGAAAAAAAAAATCCAGCTAGTGGTAAGTCAAAAACCTGGATCAGTGCTGTGCCACAAGATGTTAGCAAGAGAGTTCAGAGTTTACTGGGTACTGAAATAAAAAAATGACTGAATAAACTCTCTGATCACATCATGTGTTATACAGAGCTGTGGAGGTTAGGTGGACAAAAAGTAATCCTTGCCAGTCTGGCACAAGGATAAACATGATCTGACCACAGAGCTGGTGGTAGATTTAGTTCCAAGTATGTGAGCAGATACGACAAGCAGGAAAGGGAAAATTGTATGCCTTTAGCACAGCGCTATATTGTACCCCACATCCTCTCTCTAGTAGTCATGGCTAAACTCCAATGTTTTGTTTAAAAGTGCAAAACGAAAACAAAACAAAAACAGAGGACAAACTATGTGCTGAAGGAGGAAAACTCACTCTGACCTCCCACAGTGACCAAGGAGACTTAAAATGTTGTATTAATACAGTATAAACAGATGTTTCACTAAAAAAAGTAATATTGCTCAACTTTGAATCTCTTTGGACATACCATAAAATATGATACTTTGAATTCATAATTTGAGCTTTAAATACTAGGAAATTTCCCTACGTAAGTACATAGTCCCTCCCATAAAACTTACCAAACTCCATCCTAAAACACAGTTGAGGTTCCCTTCCTCAAATAGCCTGTTTAGAAAACTTCCAGAGCTTCATTGTTTAGAAGATCAGGCAGAAATCACATTGTTTGAGTTACGTTGTTAGGATATGCATGATCATAGTCAAAAAACCCTACAAAACCACTGAACCCACTTAATGGCTTTATTTTTTTTAAAATTGACTCTACCTGGAGAGATGAACGAGGTATTTATCTTGTCTGTATTACTGCAGCTCACAGAAACTGACTACAGAGTGTTGCAGGTATATTGCTAAACAGATACGATGCTATTTCACCACCTGTCATTTATCCCTGGGCATGTTTGGAAAATATGACAAGGATCTAGGATAGAGTAGCACTTCCCATACTGGGAAATCAAGACCAGAACATACAGAGAGCCGCTTACCAACCAGGTAGTGCATTGAGCGTCTGAGTGCTGGGTGTTTCCGGGCACACCTTTACAGTGACGGTCGTCTGTTATTCTTGGCAGTGCCGGGGAACCTGGGGTGTTACAAGGACCATGGAGAGCCACCACCTTTGACTGGCACCAGCGAGACCTCCAATAAACTGACTATCCAAACATGCATCAGTTCCTGCCGAAGTCAACAGTTCAAGGTGATTTCTTTGACACACGTTTACAAAATGTTTTCAGTGACAAAAAATGGCAATAAACCTGGAGTTCTTTATCATATTTCTCCACAAGCTCCCCTCCCTTTTTTTTTTTTAACCTTAGAGAGGTCTATGGCCTCACACCCACTCCAGGGGAGCCCTCTCTCTGCATCCAGAGCCATCTGGGCAAACAACCAGCTTATAATGTCAGGAGAAAGCATGCTTGTTTACTGCAGTTAAGAGTGATACGGTGTCCTAATTGCCCTTCATTCCGTCTTTCCCACTAGTTTAAGTAGCATCCTGGCAGCTCAAACAAAAACAGTTTGTGGTGGGACCTCTGACTCATCATATTTCTCCAAAACACACACATTCTGCTGCCAGATTTCCTGCTCATACAACCTGCTGCTATCTCACCTTTGAATATTATCCCGCCCTTCCTTACGCATCTTTGTTGTCAAAGTTTGCAGGCATGGAATCAGGTTATGCTTGTTTCTGTGGAAATAATCCTGACTACTGGAGATACGGGGAGGCAGCCAGTACGGAATGCAACAGTGTTTGCTTTGGAGACCATACTCAGCCTTGTGGTGGGGATGGCAGAGTCATTCTTTTTGACAGTAAGTATTGAAACAGGCTCAGTTTTTCCCAAAAGAGAAGCCTCAAATGTTCAACAAATTAGGGAAAAGGTTTAAATGCAGTGAGAACCGTTGCACACAAAACAGCGTAACACCTACATTCAGTATAAAATAAAGCTGCTTTCCATTTCTGGTTGAAATTCACATCCATTAATGTGAAAAAGCTCTTCCAAGAAATGATGCTTGCTCAGGCAGCTGACTTACGCTCCAGAGATTGTCTTTTACTTCCCCACAAGTGGTGCTAACTCAGCTATCACAAACAGCACGTCATGGAAAGACTCCTCCAGGACTCATCTTACCAAGGGAGCAGATATCTTAACAGATAGCAGAGGTGATTAAGTAAGGCACCTCAAATACAATTTCGATCTACACCAACTTGGGTTGTTTTTTTTTGTTAATCAGTACTTGCTATAACCCAGTTAACACAACACAAAGCAATGCAGTAGGGTTGGGACAGGGAAGGAGCGTACGGCAAAAGTACAAACAAGTTAGGTTGCTATTATGACCATTGCTGATTTAATCATTCCTTGTACATAGAAATCCTCTTTTCTGCTCTTCAGTATCCATCCCAGTGCCAGCTGTGTGACTTCGCAGGGTGGTGCTATGAGTACCCAGTTGTCTGGCTGGGGTACAGGCTCCCAGTGTGGCTGAGAGTGCTGGAAGCTGAGAGCTCACAGTATCCTGCAATATATTGTTGTATATTCTCAGATCTCCACTGCCTCTGATGTAGAAGCTACCTTTTAAGTTGAGTTATAAACTTTCTGGAACTAGAAGTGGCATACTTTTCCACCTTCTGAACACACAACCAAACTTCCCATCTCCTTAATCTGAAACTGTTGAGACAGGAATTATTCACTCTGCTCACTTGCATATTCTCCCCAAGATACCACAAGAAGCACCAGAGTTGCCTGCTGCTTTCAGTTCTGAGCTAGCATACAGCTTCATGCGTCATCCTCTGTTTCCTTCTGCTGTCAGCCTCCCAGATTCTGGATGGGCAAAGACTTTGTAACTTTCCTCTTCTGGAAAGGGCTCAGCAAGATGCCACCCTGAGACCTGCACTGTTCCTTCTGGTGAACAGCGAGGGAGAGCTGTGGCCAGGTTAAGAGACGTCATCCTAGTAACTACTTTCTTTTGCTGATGAGCAGTATTTGCTCTCTTTTCTACATTATGTCATATCCCCAGAACCTTCCTAATTCCTCCTCCCCTGCCTCTTTTGTGTTTATGTGCACCTATCATGGCCTAAAGCTGTAACATTCAAAGTCACAACACAGACCTCAGCCAGCTCCAGAAGGAAATGAGGGAGGGAAAGCGTTTCCATTCCATATGGGGCAGGGCTGTACTTTGTCAGGCATCTGTGGAGCACTAGGCATTGGCATTCTCAGTTAATGGTGCTGGTTTGAAGAACATCATGTGATGCAGTAATTACAAACAGCACAACCAAATGTAACAATACCTATAAGCCATCTGCAAAGAAGAAATTCGATATCTCAATGGCAAATTTCAATTCTATCCATTCAATCTATTGAAACAATTCTATCTATTAAATTAAATCACCGGCTCTGTTAGCACGGAGTAAGTGCAAAACACAAATTCCTCTATGGGACTTAGCACCTCTATGGGGTCTTTCACATTCTTGCTATTCTTCATTTTCAGTGCCTCTGTAAGGTCTTTCATCATGCAGCACTGAAGTGTGAGTTTTACTCAGGCTATGACCAGGCCTTGCTCCAGAAAAAGAAATGTTTTCATGTTATTTTTCTGGCAGACATATGCTACTTCTTGTTCTCCTTCCCCCAGCTCCCTTTAATTTGTATTAAAGCTCTTTCTCAGAGCCCTGTGAAAACTGAGACACTTCTAAACACTTCACTTCCTTGATTTCCATTCTCACAAGCCTCTATTACAGGGCTTTAATTAAGCTTTCAGAGAAATTAATTCTACTTCGATTCTTCAATCCTTCAGCCTATGATATGGGGGAGTGATAACTCTGATCCAAACAGTTTTGTCATGAAATGCATTAATATATAATAGATATGTAATATTCTGTATTTAGGGGATATATAAAAATACGTATGCAGGTGTATATACCTACATACAATACATTTTTTAAAATTATATATGTCTAGATACAGATACTCATGAAATCAGCTGGCTGGCATTTCAGTTTCTGGATTCACTGGTAAATAAGTGCACTGGGAATCTGGATAGTTGTCAAGGAATGTAAAGATTTACTGGGCGTGTGCTTGTTTTGAATAGAAAAGGTAGCAACAAATCTAAAAGATTTTCTTTAGACTTCATAACAGGATCTTTTTTCAAGGTACTTAATGAAGGTAAGGTCAAACATTAATTAGACAAGATCAAAAGGCAGGATGCTTACAAAGCACATACAAACGGCCACAGAGGTGATTAAGGGATTACAACATCGTTCATACAAGGAGAGGCTGAGAGATCTCGGATTGTTCAGTCCTGAGAAAAGCGGGCTCGGGGGGAATCTTTTCAATTTGTATAAATAACCGATGGGAGGGTGTAAAGATGACGCCAGGCTCTCAGTGCTATCCAGTGAATAGACTGGAAGCAACAGGCACAAATTGAAATATAGGAAAATCCACTTAAACAAGGAAAAACGTCTTTTATGGCGAGGGTGACACTGGGACAGGTTGCCCTCCGTGGAGACTCAAAACACAGCTAGACAGCATCTCCTGCTTTGAGCAGGGGGGTTGGACTACACGGTCTCCGGGGGTCCCTCCCATTATTCTGTGAAGATTTGGGGTTTTTATCAATTTGATAAGGCTGTGAAGGAATTTCAGTAATTCAGCAGCAAGAGTTAACAGTCACTAATCCACTTGCTTGCCTGCCCGATAGGGATGGAGCACAAGTCCATGAATCAGTGATTTAGCTTTCATCCTGTCCCTGCAGGGATGCAGGAGAGAGTACATGGTTACAAGGACATCAGATAGTTGCAGTAATCAAGAGTAGGGTCTGAGTAATGAGACACAGCGAGTGTGTCCCAGGCAAATGCAACAAAATAGGTGTGCTCCCAGTGCTGAGGAAGGTGAAGGACACCAATCTGAGACTGCATCCTGCTGGGCAGCAAGTTCACACCTTCATTCACATCGAGCATCAGAATCTGGAGTATTGAAGCTGTGCATCATGAATGCATAACCTCTTCTCACCACTTTCCTCCCTTTCCTTTTCACAGCCCTTATTGGAGCCTGTGGAGGGAATTACACTTCTGCTACAGCTGTGATCTATTCCCCAGATTTTCCTGACACATACGGCACAGGGAAAGCCTGTTACTGGACCATACAAGTTCCAGGAGCATCACAAATCCACTTCAGCTTTGCCCTCTTTGAAATCAAAGATGCTACAGACATGGTGGAATTGCTGGATGGCTATACCTACCACGTTCTAGCTCGTTTTAATGGCAAGAACCGACCTCCCCGCACCTTCAACATCTCTTTGGATTTTGTCATTTTGTACTTTTTCTCCGATGAAATCAATCAAGCCCAGGGATTTGCTATCAGATATAGAGGTAAGAGGCTAACTTTGCTGTTTCTACCTTTCAATAAGCTGTGAAAGCATTTGATTTACACAGATTTCAAAAGTGTCAAAGTAACACCAAATATTTTGACTCCCATGTCTACAAACATTTCATCTGTATGGCTGCCACTGCTCAGTGGGTAAAAAGCTTCACTAAAATTTCTCTTACTTTGGAAAACTTCTGTCAGCTGTGTCATAGACGGCAAAAGACAAACTTTCAAAAATTCAATCTTATACGTACCTGACTTTGCAAACACATGGGAAAATGACAAAGCTGAAACAAAACAAACAATATCAACATCAAAACAATCTGCATCTTGGTTCGTCTTGGCTCTCTCCAATAGTCTATTCCACTCAGATGCAAAGTCATCAGGAGAAAACCTTTTAGTCCTTGAGTTGTACCTGCTGTTAGGATGAGCAATTAGCTTCCAGAGAAACTCTGAGAACCACAAGTCAGTAAAGTACAGGCTTCTTCTGGCATCACAGAATATGAGGAGTTGGCAGGGACCT